GGACAAGTCTCTCCATACCCTAAAGGATTCCAGGGCTACCCTCCACTTGCTGAAGATATACACACCTGCCCTTAAGAAGAAGTTTCATTGCCCATTGGTTAAATCTAGACACATGGCTCAGCAGTTTTTCCTTCAGAAGGCCTATGAACCACCACGTAGGAGACAGAGGTTTCAAAAGTCCTGCTTCCCTACACTCTCTGCAACAACCTTGGCATCTCAGTCTCAGCCACTGCCTTAACGTTATTTTTGATGGGCGCTCGAGAGCCATGAAACACACTCTTTTTCAACACCTGGAGTGTGATAACAGACAAATGGGTGCTAAATGTCATCCATTCTGGCTATCCAATTGAGTTTGCTTCCCTACCTCCGCCAAAACCCTCACCACCCTTTAGGGGACCACTCTCACGCGAGTATTCTCAAAAGAGGCAACCTTGTTACTGCAGCAAGGAGCAATAGCACATGTCCCTCCTCAATACCAAGGAGGAGGGTTTTATTTGTCCTACTTCCTGATACCAAAAAGAAGGGCAGTTGGAAACCAATTCTCGACCTCCACCATCTCAACCACTTCATTTATAAACTCAGATTTTGCATGGTCACATTGGCAGCAATAGGTCCATCTTTAGAAAATGGCATATAGTTCACGGATCTCAATATGAAGGATGCCTACTTTCACATAGATATTCATCCTGCCCACAGATGCTTTCTCAGATTCATGGTGGATTCTAACCATTTTCAGTATAGAGCACTCCCGTTCAGAATAGTGATCGCTCCCAGAGTCTTCATCAAGATATTCTCCATAGTAGCAGCCCATGTCAGATGTTGTGGTCTCATTGTATTCCCCTACCTCAATGACTGGCTCCTTGCTGCCAAGTCCTGCCAGGAAGCCTATGCATCAACTTCCCTTATGCTACACATCCTCTCCTCGCTGGGAATCAGTGTAAACACAGAAAAATCTGTTCTCATTCCCATGCAATCTCTGAACTTCATCAGGGCAACCTTAAATTCTATCACAACAAGAACATACCTGCTCAAGGACAGGTTACAGACCATGAACAAGTAATCCTTAAGTACCAGTCAAGACATATCTGTCTCTTGTAGGTGTACATGGCCATCTGACCTAGGTCCCCACCCTTCGCTAGACCACCTTTGTTGGCTTCAAACATGGCTGCAGTTGATATACTCCCCAAGCCGCCATTCCACGAACCTCATGGTGACAGCTCCAGCCCAAGGTAGTGTCTTCCCTGCTATGGTGGACAAATCCTCATCAGGTATGCATGGTCATCCCCTTTCTCCCTTCCTCTGCGGACAGGACCATTATTACAGATGCATCCCTATTAGGTTGGGAGAGCCACATGAACAGTGACACAGCACAAGGTGCTTGGATATCTCAAGAGTCCAGAATGCATGTCAATATCCTGGAGTTGCAAGCAGTCTTGAAGGCATGAGTCTCCTTTGTTCCCTTCATCCGTATTCACTTTGTCTGTATGTCAAATAACGTTACGACTGTCTTCTATGTCAACAAACAGGGAGGAGCAAGACCAGTCTCCCTGTGCACAGAAGTGGTCAGCCCTTGGAACTGGAGTATCGGCAATCAAATCACCCTATTGGAAGCCTACCTTCTGGGGAAGCAAAACTTGCAGATTCCCTCAGCAGACATTTCATCATCCACCACAAGCAGGAGCTCCACCACTTGGTTCTGCACAATATTTTCCCTCTATGTGGAACCCCAACCAGGGATCTGTTCACCTCTGAAACAAACAGGAAATGCACTACATATTGCTTCCGAGGAGCCCTGGGTTGCCACTCCTAGGGTGACGATCTGCTTCTTCCCTGGTTGGACCAGTACAGCTATATCTTCCCTCCGCTACCGTTCCTGCTACGAGTTCTGCGCAAAATCCAGGAGAAGAGTGGACGGGTCATCCTGATTGTCCGCTTCTGGCCCAGACCGTTCTGATTTCCCAACCTCCTACATATCATCCCAACCACCACTCGTCCTCCCAATGTTCCCCAAGCTCCTGACCCAGTGGCAGGGCAAGAACAAGCATTTTGATCCACATCCACCTCCCGTGAGTCCTCAGTATTTGGACGGGCATCATCCCTAGAATGTTCATGCCTCACAACCGTATGAATCATCCTCTCTAATAGTAGACAGGAGTCTACTAGAAAATGCTACCTAGCTAAATGGAAGCACTTCTTTTCTTGAGTACACAAAAGAGGCATCCTCCCACAGACTACTCTCTCCTAGTCATCTTGGACTGTATTCTATCTTTGAAAACAGCAGATGTCTGTCAGCTCCTTGCGAATTCATTTAGCAACGTTCAGGACATACCATCCACCTTCACAGGGCTACTTGGTCCCATCTATTCAGAAACCTACTCCCCAGTGAGACCTAAACCTCGTTCTCTCTGTACTCATGAGGCTCCACTTTGAGCCTTTAGCTACTTGCTCCATGTCCCTTCTTTCCATAAAGGTTGCTTTCCTTCTAGCCATCACCTCAGCGAGTAGGGTTGATGAACTTGGAGTGGTGATGACAGATCCTCCATGCACAAATTCCATAAGGATAAGGTTTATTTGTGTCTATACCCCAAATACCCCCTGAAGTAGCGTAGGAATTTAAGCTTAATCAATCCATTCAGTTACCTGTGATCTTCCCAAAACTGCATGCTTCCACAGAGGAATAAAGACTCCACTCCCTCAGTGTTTGGTGAGCCTTGGATTTTTACCTACAGAGAACAAAACCAATCAATTATTCCCCAAGACTGTTTGTTTGTCGCTATAGAAAAAAGAATCAGAGGGTATGTCCTCTCCATCCAGAGAATCTCCAAATAGATTTCTGGCTGCATTCTACTCTCCGCTTTCTAACCTTGTTCCACCAGAGCATAAGCAGCAACCATGGCATCTCTTCAAGAGGGACCCTTCCTAAACATCTATAAAGCAACCACATGGAGCTCGGTTCACACATTTGCAAGACAGCATGGACTGGTGCAGGACTCTTCTGCCGATACCTCCCTTTGGGATGGTGGTACTCTGCTCAGCCCTACCGTCTACATCCTCAAACCCTCCTCCTGCTTAGGTACTGCTTGTCAATCACCTACAGTGGAATGCAATAGGCACCATCACTCCAAGAAGAGGAGGCGGTTACTTATCTAGCTGGAGGTTCTTTTGGATGCATGGTCCATACCTGTATTCCACTATACGTCGTCCTTCCCCCTCTGCTTCGGAACTTATCTGATTCGTGATAGAGAAGGAGCTGGAGAGGCGATCGGTCTGCCCCACCCTTCATCCCCTCGGTCAGAGGCACAAAGTGAGCCAGGGCGCATGTGCAGACCAATGGACGCTGCTTTCAAATTCTCCAGCTCCAGGCACATGGTGTCCAGGCATAACCCACAGTGGAATAAGGAAGAGCCGCCAGTTAGAGGTAAGTAACGTCCTCTTTTCATATCATTACACAATTTTCCCCAGTGATTAGTTCGGGTAGAATAATTAATTGTAACCTGTTATATTTTACTCTTAATTGTCAAGGTGCATCAATGCTGAGATCTGATTTCATCTTGCATTTGAGTGAATGATTCAGTACTATATTTGTCATGTATTTTAAAAGTTAAAATGGGAGGTTGAGGAAAAAGTTTTTTCTGGAGTGTTTGGTGTCAGTCCTCAGACAGCTAACTGAGGGGATTGTCTGTCTCTTCCAGCAGCCACCTCCACGCTTGATTAACTTTCAGAATCACAATCCCAACTCTAATGGATCAATTCTTCCTGCTCAACAAATGAGGGGTCCCCAGAACCAGAATGTACCAAGACTAACAATAAAGCCCAACCCATTGCAGATGGCGTTCTTGGCACAGCAAGCTATTAAACAGGTAAACTTTTTCCACTCACCCACCCAAAAATAAAAATTGAATACTATGTATATTCATTTTATAACTTACATTCCTTACTTTTCCAGGGTAGATTTACAGTGAATAGATTACTGTCTAGTCCAGTGATTCTCAACCCATTTACCATTGTGGGCTGCATATGCAGCTCTCTCTATTATGTGGGCCACATCTACACAATATGTAGAATCTCTGGGCCATACAGCTGTGTGTTGATTGGGCCGCAAGTGGCCCGCAAGTTGAGAACCACTGGTCTAGTCCAGGACAAGATACCTGATGATTTTGAAATGAGTTAATTGTCAAGTCCAGTTCATTCCAACTACTTTGACTAGTGGAAGAGTTAGACTTTGTCTACACAACATGTTACTTCGGTATAACTTATGTCATCGGGGTTAAATAAACCATACCTCTGAGCGATATAAGTTGTACTGACATAAGCACTGGTGTAGACAGTACTATCTCTCTCGTTGGTATAGCCACCACCACTAGCAGAGGCAGGAGTTACTAAGCCAATGGGAGAGTTCTCTCCCGTCGGCTTAGGGCAGCAGTGGGCAACCTGTGGCCTGTAGGGTAATTCACCGATGGGCCGCGAGACAGTTTGTTTACATTGATTGTCTGCAGGCACGGCTGCCCGCAGCTCCCAGTGTGTGTGGTTCGCTGTTTCCGGCCAATGGGAGCTGCACGAAGCAGTGTGGGCCACAGAGATGTGCTGGCCGCTGCTTCCTGCAGCTCCCATTTGGCTGGGAACAACTAACTGCGGCCATTGGGGGCTGCGGGCAGCTGTGCCTGCGGATGATCAATGTAAACAAACTGTCTCGTGGCCCGACAGCAGATTACCCTGATGGGTCGCAGGTTGCCCACCACTGGCTTAGAGCATCTTCACCACAAGCACTACAGCAGCGCAGCTGCATCAGTGCAGCTGTGCCGTAGTAAGTGCTGTAGTGTAGATGTCGCTTGAGTGAATTATGGTTTAAATGTTTGCTTTAATTTATTGCTATGTTTATTTTGTATCTATCACTGACTTCTGGGCGGCCTTCAAAACTTAACACAAACACACATTCTGTTCACAGCAGTCCATGAGCAAATAGAGTAGAAAACCACGCCCTCTAATTTCCCTCCTGGGTACTGCACCAGTAAACAGGCAAAAGCCTGATTAAAAAGCTGGAGCTGCCACTAGGCTCTGGAGCTACCTGGACTCTTACAGATGAAGAGAGGAAAGAAATTCCACAGTTGTGGACCTTCTGCTGCAAGTGATCAATCCCCAGCTGATCAGCAGTTATGTGGGGATAAGAGTGAATACTTCAGATACTTTCTAGCTGCTCAGTGAGGCAAATACCAATGAACCAACAACGATTTAAGGTTTGTTGTACGCTTAAAAAGAGCAGAGTATCTTGCCACCATAAGAAGGAATGAAACACTGGTCTGTGACCTAAGAAATGGAATAATAGTGCCATGGCTATCACAGTCACGTGAGTTGAATCAAAGAGAAGATCGATTGCTTTACAAGTCCTTTTAAATCATTTAAAAAAAAAAACCCATCCCAACTTCGTTCCACTGTCCACTTAAATAACAGTACCTAGTTTACAGTACTAAAAATACAGGAACAGCTTTTCACATTCAGCCCATTGTCGATATTGCATTTATTCCACTAAAACTATTCAGTTCTCCGCAGGAAATAAATTACATTTTAAGATTTTTTAAAATCTCATACATTTGTCCTACCTCTTATTTCTCTTTTTTTCCACGATTTGAGACTACAAAGCAAATAGGAATTTCAGTTCTAATTTCAACTCATTTTGCTTTTGTGTTGCCGCTTGCTTGGTTCAAACATATTAGGGTCAGATTATGTAATAGATGTCTTCTACCATGCAAAAGAACAATGATGAATTCTGGTTGTGTTTTGTTTTGTTTTTTGTTTTTGTTTTAGTGGCAGATAAGCAGTGGACAAGCTTCAGCTGCCCCGTCAACTGCAAGCAGCACCACATCCACCCCTTCCAGTCCCACTGTTACTAGTGCTGCAGGGTATGATGGGAAGACATTTGGTCCACCCATGATAGATCTGAGTTCTCCAGTGGGTAGTTCTTATACCCTACCTTCTCTTCCTGATGTAAGAGTAACACAAGCAATGGTTTACAGCTTTTATTTTAAAGTGAATTTACTGTTTGCAAATGTTGATCAATGGAAAGGTCTTTGACACTGAAATTCTTTACCTACCTACCAAACTGGTGCAATATAGAAAGCAACAGTTCAGGTTTTCCTTCATGCTCCTACACTGTTCTGGAGACACTGCCTTTCAGGGATTTAGGACTGGCAGGAAGAGTAAGAATGAAGAATGCAATTTTACTCTTCTTATGTAGACACCTACTAGCCTTCATCTGTCATCATCTTCAGTTGCTGCTAATAAAAAATGAGTTTCCTCAGCTTTGGTCATCAATACCCATGACATATAATAGTACATGCTATAAATCTAGGGTCTCAGTAGTATATTACTGAGGTTTCTGTATAATTGAAAGTCTGTCCCATGTAGATATTAATGTACAGTGCTAGGCTGAAGTAATTTTTCTTCATCAGCGCATTCAGTATTTTTTTTCCTATGGGTGGGAATGGGGGTTAGGAGCTCATCTCCCACAATTTTTGTGTGGTAGGAGGGGAAGGAGTGTCATAATCTTGCTGTATTTTATCTAATAGACTTTGAACTGGAATACAGTAAGAGTCTCTTCGGATTACTACATCTTTATCGGAGGGCCAAATAGAGATTTTGAGCTGTAAGCGATCTACTTCATTGTGTCAAAAATAAGAAAAGTGCACTTAAACAGCTCTCAACAGTTTATGAATAACTGAAATTTCATGATTTATAGTAGTAATTTGCTATTCATCCCTGTTTCTTCCTCCTGTCTCCTGGTCCTTGTGAGTTGCTCTCAAATCTTGGATAACCTTTTTATCTTTTATTTTTTTTAATTGAAAACATTGGCAGAGGCATTGTGATAACACAATGTAATGAGAACTGGATGCCCCATCATTTAAAATTGTTTTAAGATACTTAGTTAACACACACAAAACACATCACACTACAATCATAAACATGTAATTTGAATCAGTGACAAGTACTTTATCATTGTTCTGCATGCATGTTTCACTTGTGTATCACTGAGTACATGCTATTAGATACCTCACTATATTAGTAGTGATTAAGAACAATATAATGTGCTTTTCTGAACACTTCACAATAGTCACATAATCACACTAATGTATAGTAAGTGTCAAAGGTCAGTGCAGCTGCTACAGATGGATTTGCAAGGTGCAGCTTGCCATGTGAATGCTTTAGAAAAGTATGATCCTAAAGTGATTTGTATTTTCTAGCCATGCTTATTTAGAGTATTAGTGTTTCAAAGGCCATTTCTCTAATCCTGCAGCATGTGTGACAATTTCAGTGGGCTGAGATGATAAATTGAGACTAGTTTTCCTCTAAAACAGGTATCTCATTGTTCTGACCTCATGTGTCATAGCTGAAAAGACATAACCAATTAGCTGACACTTTCTACTTTTCTACTGAATATGCATGTCCTCTGGCCAGGATGTACTCCGCACATGTGGAACATGTTGGGTTGCTTATTGGGTGATTCTTTGAATTGTATAAAGAAGAACAGGAGTACTTGTGGCACCTTAGAGACTAACAAATTTATTAGAGCATAAGCTTTACGTGGACTACAGCCCACTTCTTCGGATGCATATAGAATGGAACATATATTGAGGAGATATATATACACACACATACAGAGAGCATAAAC